ATAAATCTGGTTTGTAATGTTTTGTCTTACTAGTAAGATTCTTCATGCCTGTTTGCAGTTCATGGCTATTCTTATTTTAACCCCAAGAAACTGGTGTCTCTACTTTCCACCTCTAATTTTTTATTTTATACATTTTATGTAAATGGTGGTGGTGGTTGTTGTGTATCATTGAGTTCAAACTGACCCAGAGCTGACGCTTCTGTGGGTTTTCAGAGTCAGTTAATTAGATGGGAGGAGATTGCCCATCCTCCTCCTGTGGAGCAGATCGTGACCTCGAACTGTGAGCCTTTAGGATTGTAGGCGGTTTCTTTCCCCTGGGCCACCAGAGCTCCCTTAGTATAATGGTTTAGGCTAATCTGTAATGGAGCAAGTATTGGTAGTTTGTTCTTTTTATTGTTGAATAAAGAGCACTGGTCTGTCCACTTGCTCTACAGAGGTAACTCATGGTTGCTGTCATGCTGAATACTGTGACACTGATGTATCAAATGCAATAATTGTTACCCATAGTGGACAGTGTTTGGTGGAGTTTCCCGTTTAAAATAAGTTTGGAAGCAGGAGTGGTAGCCACTTCCAAAATAGCTTACCCCTGGAAACCCTATGAAGCTGGAGAAAGAATAAAACTTATGCAAGTGTTCAGGTCTTTCCTTCATAGGGTCACTATGAGTCTTCTATGACTCAGTGACACTTAACAACAACAACATTGTTGAATAGAAAGTATATCATTGCATGTTGTTGTAATAAAGATGAAATAAAATACTCAAATTAGTCTTTTGTTTCAATTTATTTGAATTCATTTTGTTTGTTTTTCCAATTTGTTCAATTCATTCGTTTTTCATCTTTCTAATATAAACATCATGTGCTGCTATATTTTATGTAAGCACTGGTATAATTGCATCTAAAAAAAGGTTTTTTGTTTTTTTTTTTTTTAAATATGTTTCTGTAAGGTCACTATGAGTCACAGGTGACTTGATGGCACATGACGGAAACATGGTATTTCCATCATTATTCAGTTTTAGTGTTGCTTTTTTTTTTTTAAAAAAAAAGAATCCTCATTTATTGTTGCTTGTTTCCTTGTGAACCCTATGATTTTTTCCCCATGTATTTGTTTTTTTAACCTTACTCTTTAATCTGTGAGAATCCTGGGTACTTTTTCAGTAGTACTTTCTTCTGTAAGGGACATGTGACTTTAAGACTTGACTGAGGTTCTCTTCTTTCTTGTTCCATAAGCCTTGAACTGACAATGTCAGGTGTAGTATTTTCACTGTCTAAAGTAAATACTGATTTTCTGCGGAGGAAAATACCTGCCAAGTTGAGGTCTACTCTAGACTCCTACATGGACAACATGTGGAATAATTAACATATTTCAACTAATAGATGCTGCTCTAGATATGCTCACCAAGTTGTGCCAAGAAACCTAGAAGACAACCACTTGGCTGGAAGAGATCTATATTTGTTTCCATTCTAAAGAAAGGTGACCCAACAGAGCGTGGAAATTATCAAACAATATCATATCACATGCAAGCAAGATTCTGCTGAAGATTATCCAAAAACAAGTGGAGCAACTTATCAACAGAGAACTACCAGAAATGCAGGCTGAGTTTAGAAGGGGTCGTGGTACCAGGGATATTGTAGCTAAGTCAGATGGATTTTGGCTGAAAGCAGGGAGCATCAGAGGAATGTCTATCTGTGTTTCATTGATGGTGCAAAGGCATTTGCCTGTGTGGATCACAACAGACTGTGGCTAACTCTGAGAAGAATGGGAATCCCAGAACACTTTATGGTGTTAATGCGAAACCTATGCTTGGACCAGGAGACATTTGTCAGAACAGAGCAAGGAAACGGCATGGTTCAAAATTTGGAAGGGTGTACACCAGGGATGTGTCCTATCTCCATACCTTTTCAGTCTTTATGCAGAACAGATTATCCGGAAGGCTGGATTCTATGAGGATAAATATGGTGTCAGGATTGGAGGAAGATTCATAAACAGTCTGTGTGATGCAGATGACACAACCCTGCCTGCTGAAACGGAGGAGGATCTGAAGTGCTTGCTGCGGAAGGTCAGGGACTGCTGCCTTCAGTATGGATTGAGGCTTGATATCAAGAAAACAAAGATTCTCACCACTGGGCGGATTTGCAGCATCATGATGGATGGTGAAAAGCTTGAAATTACTCACAGCTTTAGTTTGCTTGGCTGCACAACCAACACTCTTGGCACCAGCAGCCAAGAAATTAAAAGACGTATTGCAATGGGAAAGTCTGCTGTTAGAGACCTCTCTAAAGTACTGAAGAGCCGTGATGTCAGTCTGGAGACTAAGGTGCACCTGATATATGCCATGGTCTTTGCAGTCACTTGCTATGTATCAGAGAGCTGGACAATGATTAGGGATCATAGAGGCAGAATTGATGCCTTTGAGCTGGGTGTTGGAGAAGAGTATTGAATATACCATGGACTGCTAAGGGAACGAGCATGTTTATAGAGGGTGAAGCCAGGCTGCTCCTTGGAGGCAAGGATTCTGAAATGTCATCTGACAGTTTGGACATGTTGCAAGGAAAGACCAGTCCTTGAAGAGGGACATCATGCTTCAGAGGGTAGACGAACAACTCAGGAGAGGAAGACACTCGATGAAATGGATTGATTCAGTGACTGGAGTAACGGGCGTAGGTGTGTCAGAGACAATGAGATTGGCACAACATAGAGCAGGGTTTAGGGCTGTTGTACATTGGGTCACTATGAGTTGCAGGCAACTCGGTGGCACATTAACAACAACAACAACAACAACAACAACAACAGACTATCTAGACTGGTCTCTTTCCTCCTAGTTTTCTTGGATCTGATACCACACATATTTATCACAATGGGAAATAATACCAGGTATGACAAATCATGCTTCTTTTTTTTTTGTCTCTTTCATTCCCGTGTTTAATAGTCATTTTGTTAAAATCATTTTAAGAATGTTTTGACAAGACAAAGAAGTGAGCAGAAAGAGTGTAGTAAATGCTATTTAAACTTTATATTTCAGGCTTTTAAAGCAACTGTAGGCAGAAATTATCATCTCTCTTAATGCAGTGTTCTTGAATCATCCTCACTATGAGAAATCAGTCCTGTGTTTGCATTATTGATGTTTTCTTCTGTGTGTGCAGCTTTGTCAGGATCTTTTTGAGCTGCTTGTCCAATTTGTGAGCATACATGGCTAAAATTAGGTAACATAACCCATAAATCCATTTAACTAGACACAAATAAAAGGCAGTTTGTTTCAGCATGCTTAAAGTGAACAGACCAGTGATTATATCATGTTAACATTTCCCATTCTCACCATAGATGGTACTTCAGAAATTCCATATGGATGCCATGTGAACTATATGAAGATGCTTCTTTCTCTGAATATTTATGTCTGGATAAGTCTTAGTTACTTTTCTCATAGATAATTAAGCAGAAGCATGTGTTATCCTCCTAAACGCCATAGAAGTTCTATGTCTTGCTGTGGAACTCTGGACTTGGTAGACCTAGATCATCTCTGACTGTCCAGTAAAACTTTGGAAATGCCCCCTATCTGTGCTGTCTAGCTAGAACACTTGAAATGTGTCTAGTGCCACTTAGTTAATTTCTTATTTCGTATACTTTCAGTAGTTCAGATCTAAATAAATGTACTAGACACATGTGACTGATGCAACGTAGTGAATAGTCCAGGTAAACTATTTGTTGAAGTAGAAGAAGATCATTGAAATAGACACATACCTTCACTGGTGGATTAGCACAGTTTCTCTTAGAAGAGATAACATAGTTATGTGATACATAATCTGCTTCTTAATTGAAGTGACATGTAATAGAAGTTCATTCTAATGACCAGCTAATCTCTTTTTTTATCAAGAGTGTTGGGTTGTTGGTAGTTTTTTATTACTTTTTCCAAACCTAAATTTGTAATAAAACTATTCCTTTGTAGTCCAAATATTGGTAATTATGAGATAGAAATATTTCAGCTCTAGGATTTAGAAAATATGTGTCATAATTTGTCAGTTGTTTCCCATTTATTTTTGTTGAAAATATGAATTTAACTTATTGTACAAAATACACACTGAAAAATGGTAACTGAAAAGTTAGCATCTCACCCCATCCCCATATTATAGGTATGACACTACTTAAAGACCTAATTCTTTATAATATATTAAGTGGGATTTTATATTAAAATTTTCAAAGCTGTAAGCACATGTTACTCTCTGTTCCCAAGTATACCATACGCCTTTTTTTAGTTAATGTTACTTCATTAGCTTTACCTTTACCTTTGACTGAAATATGGACAGAGAGAATGTTTCTTCTTTCCACTGCTTACATGTATAATACAGTGTTGAATTTAAGATTGTTTAAAAAGATGTGTAAATGAATCAAGTATAGCTTATATTACTTGAACTCTTGGAGATCTCACTCTGGCGGCATTGCATTCTTCATTTATGCCAGAAGAGGGTGTGCTTTAAACTTCATAGTTTTAAACAAAACATTCCTTTTAACCGCTGCAGTAAAGTGGGTATTTCTTAAAATGACCAAATCCTTAAATCTCAGCCATCCTTTAATCACAGATGTCATTAATGTGTGTGTGTGTGTGTGTGTGTGTGTTTGTGTGTGTGTGTGTGAAAGAGAGAGAGGGGAGGGAAAGAAAAGGCGTATACATATAATTTAGAGTATATGAAGCTAAATGCATTTATTACTATTTCTTTAATCTAGAAATAGATCTTTATTCTTAGTGGTTTATTTTGTTACTTTCAGAAAATTAATTTAAATTAAAAAGTAGCTTTTAGAGATCTTTTTGAAGGAAATTTTGTCTTTAAATATGAAAAAAAAATAATAAAAGCAACCAACCCCAAAGCTTGATGCTGATGATCTTAGTTTTGCTCTTACTTAGTTGAATTAGCTTTACACATCATAGCACATGAACAGTAAAGAAAGAGAAATTACAGAGGAAAAAAGAGACATGACTAAACTGTGACTTTCTTTTGTGTCTTAACAGCTTGAAGGTCCATGTGTTTTGCAGATACAAAAAATTCGCAATATTGCTGCACCTAAGGATAACGAAGACTCCCAGGCGGCCCCACGGATGCTGCGTCTGCAGATGACTGATGGCCATATAAGTTGCACAGCAGTCGAGTATAATTATATGCCCAAATTAAGGTGATGACGCTTGTTTTTTGTACATTTTTACGGTCTTTGGAGATGCTATTCAAAATGGATTTCATTTTAAGTATTTTGGAAAGAAGGAATGGACTTTTTCATTTGTTTGTTCTGTATAGAAAAATAGTTAAGAGTAGGTCATTTTTTCCCCTCCCTGTTCATTGTAAAAACAGGAATTTAAGATGATTTGGGGCGTAGAAAGTAATCTTTTCATTTGTCCAGGGAAATTACAGGTCATTTGCTCAGAACAAACATTTTATTTAAATAAATTATGGTTTCTTCCTTAACAGTGTGGTGACATCACACTAGTGTTCTAGAGTTTTTAGACAAATGAGTTTTCTTCAGATTTAATGAATCTAGGGAAGTTTGTGTGTCCCTACTTTTTAATATAGGGAGCAATTTTCCAAATTCTTTTGTTGTTCATGTTGTATACCGTTGAGTTGGAACTGACCCAGAGGAGACCCTGCAGTGAGTTTTTCATAGGCAGTAAATCACGTGGGAGTTTATAGCTCATCTTTCTTCCGCAGAGCAACTGGTGGATTTGAACTTTGTACTTTTGTATTGGCAGCTCAGTTACTTTCTTTTAGCTATCTAAGAAATTCTTACAGTCTCCCCTATTAGATTGAAGCAAGGTAATGAGAAAGCGGGAAAGGTTTGCTTTATCCTCAGCGTTCCCATTGAGCTAGTGAGAGGTCTGCTTTCTGAGGTGGGAACTTTTATTGTATATTTGTAAAATACTCACCCCTACTCCCACTCAAATTTGGTTTTTCTCTCAATAATTTTCTATGCTTATATTTCTGTTCTGGGTCCTTTAACATTTTTCATTTGATATAAACATTTAGAAATACTTCTTGCTTGAGCAAACATTTGACAAGGATTTAGCATGTACTGTGTTCCAGCCTCTTTATTATGTACTCTAAGCACAAAGGTAAAGAGGATTTATACCTTGTCCTCTAGTAGCTTATATTCTAAATGTAGACATACACATTATTGTCATAAGTATATAAATTTAATAGGGTAGGAGTTCAGAAAATTGTCTTTACAAAGACAACTGACTAGAAGTTAAAAATACAAGTATTTTGAGAAGTAGAAGATGAGAGGTCAGCATATGCCAAGATACAGTGATCTGACAAGAATAAAGAAATCAATAAGAAGTTCCATTTGGTGGATCATAAGTGACTGGGAAGCTGTGTGGGGAATTAAACACAGTAGTGTTTTCCCTTCTTTTTTTTACTTTAGCCAGTGAATGCTTGCTTTTAGAAGTCATGGTACCTATGTTTGTCTGAAATGCTGATTTCCAAGTACCAAGGGAGTTTACTAACTTTGTGATTATATTACCATCATTTTTTGAAGAGTGGTGGTAGTTGTGTCCTGTCCAGTCTGACACTTCATATGATTTTTAGAGGTAGTTAATTGCAGGCAAGAAGATTGCCCATCTTTCTTCTGTGCAACAACAGCTGGTGAATTAGAATCTTTGCGTTTGCAGTGCTATTTTTAATTACTCACCAACCAGAGCTCCCTTTTTTCAAGAGTAGGATTCATACTTTGTGGAGAAACAGACTTCCCTTCTTTGATTGATAGAGTCAGAAATTACACCCCCAGTCCCCCCATATCCCTAGCGCATTCACAGATGATTCAGAAGGAAGGCTTTTCAGATAACAGTCCATTCTTTGATTTTACTGCTGTTTACTTCTCAGCAGTAAATGAAAACTTGTCAAAAGATCCAGTCCGGATTGGAGGGTCCTGCCTATGCTGTTCACCACTCTCATTCTTTGAACTTCATGCCACCTGTTCACTCTCATTATCGAAGTGTGTATCTATCTTGTTGGCATAAAAATGACAGCTTAGAGAATTGCTTTTAAGTATGAACACTTTGGGAGACCCTTCTCGATTATGATTGGTAATTCTCTGAGAAGGAAGGTGATGGAACTCACAAGAGAAGACAAAGATAATGGGTTTCTGTTGGGCATTTCTTCAGGATGCTTCTTCACTCTTCTGCTTCTCCCTGCTTTTTCTTTTCTTTTTTTTTTTTTTTTAAATTATGATTAAGGGACAGTAAAGGTACTCTTGAACACCAATAAAAAAGCAATGAAATGAAAATATGCTGTTTGAATAAGAGTTAATGGTGGCCTTGCCGGCAGCATAGTAAAAATTAATTAAAATTCTAGCTACTATCCCATTGTGGAAATATAACTCTGTTTAATCTGGTGGAACCCTTATCAGTTGTCCTAAGGAAATTGTTGACTCATTCTCCTATAATTTCATACCTTTTTCCTCTTATTGTTGAGAATTTAAAGAAGCATAATCGTTCTTTTATGTGCCATCGAGTCATTACATACTAAAATATTGGCTCATCTTTTGCCTCTAGAATAGCCTTTAGTTTTAAAATTACAATATCATAATTTAAATGACCCAGTAATTTGCACCCAACTTCATAAGGTCTGATAACAGAAAAAAATTTACTGTATTTGTCTATTTTTATCAATTTGCAGGAATATTAGGAAAAAATTGGTTTGAGAATCCAACGTAAGTCTGATGCAAATGGTATTGGTCATTAGTAATTTATATAGAGGCAAGCTGAGTGGGGTCTTCTATACTTATCTTTTTAATAGAGTCTTAAATGAAAGAAGGTATGAGAGTCTCTATCTACTAATAACCCAGAATTGGGAGAAACCTCTTCGTTTAGTATAACTGGATTCAGTTGTTGCTAACACCGAACTCTGGTAGACGTTGCCCTAAGTTCACTACAGTTAGTGTACAGTAGTACATTTGTGTACTACTAAGTACACAACAAAGCCCTCTACTTAATGTTGAGCTTCTACAAGGCTATTTATATGTATTTTTTCTGTAAAGTGTATGTGATGACTAAGAATAATAATGAAATTTATATTCTCAGGATAATTTTATTAGATAATTTATTTTACTTTGAGGCCTTTTAAGTTTAAATAGCAGCATACTTTATCCCTCCTTTTTTTGTTTATTTATTTGTTTTATTTTTTATTTTTTCCCTACCCAGCCTCATCCCTCTGCTCATACCTCTTTTCCCCTTGGACTCCCATATACATTTTACTTGTTATTCTTCTGTTTTCTGCAATAATGGTATGATGCAATATCCATCCTAATGGGACTGCATTAATTCACTCAGCGTAATGTTCTCTAGTCTCTCCCAAGTTATGTAGTATTTTTCAAAATCATTGCTTCTGAGTGCTGCCCAGTAGTCTGTTGTGTGAATGTATTATAGTGTCTCAATCCATTTGGTTGTGGTTGGACATTCATGACATTCTTGGTGACAGTGAATAATGTTACTATGATCATTGGTGTACAAATCTCCAAATATGTCACAGTTCTAATTTTCTTGGAATGTATTTCTAGTAGTGCAGTTGAGTAAATGCAAATGGTCTTCCAGGGTAGTTGTTCATTTTACACTCCCACCAACAGTTCCCACTTCTACTCTAGTCTTTGTTAATGTAGATTGTGTCACTTATTTGTTTTTAAACTAGACAGGTCTGGTTCTTTTACTCATTTGCTTATCCTATGTCAGCACATGGTAAATTTAATGAGTTTTCAAATGTAAACAATGGCAAGGTATTTCAGCCTGATTCTTTTTCCTGCAGAGCAGCAGCTAGTGGATTTGAACCATATACCTTTTCGTTGGCAGCATAGTTTCTTACCACAAAGCCACCAGAATTTCTTTCAGTATGATATTCTAATCTATCTCATTTCGGCGTAGACTTTTATCTCTGTTTAGACCCTTTTGTTTGTGGAAGGAATTGGCATGAAATTCGTATATGTTTATTTTAGAAAGGAATTGTGTGATGCAATGCATTTCTTCCCATTATTACCTTTATGAAAAGTTTTTATGAGGATAAACTTGCTTTATTTTTAAATAATTTTTATTGTGTGTTTGCTGCAAGTTTACACTACACATTAGTTTCCCACTTGACAATTTCTATACAGATTGTTCACTGGCACACATTACATTTTTCACAGTATGTTGTCATCATTTCAATTCTAGTTGTTCTGTTTCTAGTAATCTAGTTGTTTTGAGTGTCTTGTCTCCCCTAATCTCCTTATATTTTGTTTTAGAGTAAATGTTGACTACTTGGTCTCATATAGATAACTATTTAAGAGACTCTAATACTCAATGAATAATACTCTTTTTTTGGTTGTTGTTGTTGTTATTTACTGCTGAATCGGATCTGACTGGCACAGGAGGAGATTGCCCCTCCTTCTCCAGCAGAGCATCTGGTGGATTCAAACCACACGCCTTCAGGATTGTATATTTATTTTATGAGCCAATTTGTTACTTAGCTAAAAGGTGACTGGGAGAATTTTGATTCAAAGGTTAATTGATAAACCTGGATTTTGTAGAAAGAGTTATGTTTTTCCGAAATCTGACCATATTAGCTTGATAAAGAAAATATTTTTTAAGAGTGGTGGGTTTTAGAGTAAAAAATTCTCTTTTCCACTAGATGTTGTTTGAAATTTTTTTAAAAGTGTCTCTAATAAAAAAAAATAAACCTCAAAAGTGTCCCTATTTTGTATGGATTACTGTAACTCATTCATGCTAAATATTAATTTCGCATAAAAATTTAAATTTATAATATAGCTACAACTATGCCAGACAGTCAAAATTTGAAGGAAAAATTGCAAATTATATGCATTTATGCTTTTTATTTTAGTATTTCAACTCTGTAAGATACAATTATTATTGTTCAATTTTTTAAAAAAATTCTAAACTGAAGTTCATGTCTTTATAATTTATCTAGAAAAATAACAAAATTGTATGTGATTCTTCTGACTTCCTTTTTGTCAGTCTAGTCACACTGTAGCTAGTCTTCTGAAATATAATTTTGTCACCACACATTTTAAATATGAAACTGAATTCAAGTTTTATAGTCCACGCTTTAACTCTTTCTTCCTTAATTTAGTTTGAACACGCCACCTGGAACGAAAATTAAGCTCTCAGGCATCATTGACATAAAAAATGGATTCCTGCTCTTGAATGACTCTAATACCACAGTTCTTGGCGGTGAAGTGGAGCACCTTATTGAGAAATGGGAGTTACAGAGAGTAAGTGTAAACTAAGAAGAATGGCTTGAGCTTTTAAAACCTTTTTATTGTATTTCATATTTCTGAGAGAACTTTTCCTAATGAATAGTAAAATTAGCCCTTTATATCATAGTTGAATAGGCTATAACACTGTAGAGAAACTGCTTTTACTAAGCATATTATTCCTCTCAAACAGAAGTCATTTTCAGTACAGCAGTCTCTTACTTAAGATATATTCTCGTTATAACAAACCACATATAAGACTGATTTGGGTGGTTTGTTGGGTTTTTAATCTTTTCGGAACATCTTATCATTAGCAGTATGTACTGCATACAGTATTACAGTATACAATTTGTTGATGTAATTCTCATGTCAATCCCCAGAGACAAATAAAGATAGGAATAATAAAAGGAAATAATTAAAATACTTATGAAAACTTTTAAAGAAAGTATTAACTTATGACAGAATCTTCTTATGATGGAGTTGGAACTCAACTTTGTCATAAAGTGAGAGCACCCACATTTTTAAAAATTTATTACTTTTTTTAAAAAAGCATACTTTACCTAGTTTTCGGAAATATCAATACATCACTTACAAGCTGTATGCCCTGTGTCTGTGTTTAATTTTTTTTCCAAAATAAAAAAAAAAGTGTTGTGCGCATGTGTGAATATAGTGTTTATATATTTGGCTCATCAATAAGTGTGTACAAGTCAAATCAAGTTTGAATTTTGCTATAATTGTTAAACTCTTATTCTTCCTTGTTGTACTATTCATGCCCTATTTATGTTAACAGCATTTTTATTCCCCAAGTCATCTAGATCATTTAGTATGTCCTTGACTTTGCTTCTAATAACCATTTCAACTAATAAGCCCTCTCATGGTGCCTTGTCCTTACTGTAGTTTGGATGAATAGCTTCCATCAGGTTGACTCACGGATCCCAGTCCTGCTTCTTCCTCATGGTTGCTAGCATGTTTTGAGTTCATCATTCCAGCTGTTGATCCAGTCTATCTTGCTAATGGTCTGCCATGACATCTGTGGCCTGCTTTTTCACCAAACATCATATCTTCTTCTTGTTGATGTGTATAAAGCAAATGAGTTTGATAGTATTTGGTTATGATTTATAAAACTTTCATTAATAATTTTCAGACATAGATCACCAGGTTTTTTTTCATAGTCTTAGTCTTGAAGCTTCATTGAAACCTGTCTGCCATGGATAACTTGTTAGTATTTAAAATGCTAATGACATTGCTTCCAGGATCAGAGCAACATGTAAGACACCCCGGTATGATAGACTGACAGCATGGAGGCAATATGTGGTTTGGTTCTTTAGTATCTTTTACCTAGGTTATGGCAATAGCCTTATAACTATTCCCCTCCCATCGCCACTTTCCATCTTTGAATATATTTACAAGAGTTCTAGTGTTACAGTAGGTACGAAGCTATGCTGCCAACCCTACCGGCACACATTCTCTGTTACTGTGAGGTGCTACTAAATACTTGAATTTGTTCTTCTGTTCTTTTAGTTTGAAAAAAAATACAGAGCATGTATTCCTTTTCGGTTTCTCTAACTCCAGTTCTTTACACCTTGTGTCATAATATTTTGCTTTATTGTTCTTGAACTCTCCTTTGAAATCTTCTGTTCAGCTCTCTTAATGTAACATTCTTGTCCCCATAGTTGTTTTCTTCTTGTTCTAGTGCTGGATTTAGAGTCTCTGTTGACATCTGTTTTGCTCTTTCCTTTCTCCCTTTCTTTTTGTAATAAACTTTTACTTTCTGTATGGATGATGTCCTTGAAGCCATCACAAAACAAACCTGGTCTTCAGTCATTAATGTTCAGTTCATTACATTTATTTTTTAAAATATTTTTGTTGATTTTCATATAATAATACCTTTGCAGTATAGTTCATTCATATACATTGTTTTACACAATCTTTCATTTACATTGTGTTTCGTACACTCATATACATTCTATTTTACATTATTTTTATACTAGTTTATTTACAAACTTCAAATACATTGCTTTTCACATCAAATCATTCCCATTTCCCTCACCCTCCACCCATCAAATTGTTCGAGCCCATGATTAATTTCCCCTCCACATTCTCACCGCTCTACTTCCACCATACCCCGTCCTTGGATCCTCATACTGATTATGGTTTTTAAAAATAAAAATGGTTTTACACAGTATTTGTTCTCCCTGGGACTGAGTTCAGTTAGCATAATACTCTTCAGTCCCTCTCAGACTAGATAATAATTTTAAACTGGTTTACATACAAAGTTCATATACATTGCTTTTCACACCAGACCTTTCCCCTTTACCAGTCCCTCTCTCTACCCATCAAATTGTGCAGCCCTCTGTTTAAGCACCCCCACCCCCGACCTTAGATATTTGTACACGCTCCACAGTATTTGTCTTTATGAGACTGAATTAGGTCATTTAGCATAATGTTGTCCAGTCCTTCCCATGCTTAGGCAGTAATTTTACAAAGTCATTGCTCCTGCCTGCTGCATATTATTCCATCAGGATCCCATACCCAGCAAAGCTCTCCATTAAATATGAAAGATAAATCACATATTTTGCTGAAAAGCAAGAATTTAAGGAATTTGTGAACGCAAGACCAACCTACAAAAACTTTTAAGGGAAGTCTTACACCCAGATACATCAAATGAAAGTGGATGGACCATAGTAACAAGAAACAACAGAAAAAGAAACACAGCAAAATGGCAGTGATAAAACCTGGCCTGTCAATAATCATACTTAATGTGAATGGACTTAATGCACCAGTCAAGAGAAAAAGAGTAGCAGAATGGATAAAATAGCAAAACCTATCATTATGTTGTCTACAAGAGACACATCTAATAAACGAAGCGAAAGAGAGACTCAAAATCTATTCTTAAGACGTTTGTTTAAATTCAGTTCAGAAAGACAATTTCTATCCCATTTTGTTTCTCGTGGACTTATTTAAATTTTCTTCAGTTTCAATTTTAACTTCCACATTAGTAGTTAATGGTCTAGTCCATGATTAGCTCTTGGCTTTGTTTTGACTGCTGATAACTGAGCTTCTCTATTGGCTTTTTCTACTTATGTTGTTAACTTGATTCCTGTGTATGCCATCAGGTAAGATCTATGCATAAAGTCACCACTTATTTTTTTATCAACTTACTAATGCTAAGGTTGTCAATTTTTGTGCATTCCATTTCATTTATATAACTTTAATTTTCCCAGATTCATACTTTGCGTGTTCGATGTTTTAGTTCTTAATGGATATTTGCAGCCGTTTCTCTTTGCCACATTAGCAATTGAAAGTCCTTCATTGGGTGAAAACTTTATTCCATCCCCGTCATTATGGTTCACTGGATCTACTTTGAGGAGACAGCTCTTCGCCATTGACTTGTTGAGTGCCTTCCAACCTGTGGGGCTCATCTGCTGGCAATATACCCAACAGTGTTCTTCCATTATCCATAGAAATGCAATATTATTTCAGTATTATTTTATTCAGTATTATGTGCAGTATTATTTTAGATATCTTCATTTAGCACTTAACGCCATTTATAACCTAGTCCGCAGTGCTCTGGTTGCCTGGTTTGTAGCGTGAGTTAGTTAAATTAGGATAGTGCTGCTAACCGAATGGTGGCCCTTCTTTTAAGGTTCGAATTCACTGGTGACTCTGTAGGAGTAAGATGGACAGTCTCTTCCTGTGCACTTTTTAGTCCCTGAAAACCTGCTTGGAATATCAGTTATCATTTGGTTCCAATTTGAATGCAGTGAGTTTGCCTTTTGAGATGACATAGTCTTAATTCATTGTATCTTGAAGTCCAGTGTTAAGTGTTAGGATGTTGTTGTGTACCATTTGGTTGGAACTGACCCATAGCTGACCCTCTGGTGGGTTTTTAGAGGCTGTTAATTCCATGGGAAGTGATGCCCATCCTTCTCCTGCAGAGCATTTGGGGGATTTGAACTGCATGCCGTTGGAATTGCAGTGCAGCATTTTGCCACTAGGTACCAGAGCTCCCATCCATACACATACGAGGAAGACCTGTTAATACAACTATTACTCAAATATACACTTCCACAGCTAAAGCCAATGTGGAGAAATTTGAAGATTTTTATCAAATTTTACAGTGCAGAATTGACCAGTCATGCAGTCAAGATGCATTAATGATAATTGATGATTGGAATGCAAAAGTTGGAAGCAATGAAGAATGAGAGTAGTTGGAAAGTATGGACCTGGTGATAGATATGAAGCCATGAGAAGAATGATTAAATTTTGTACATTCAGTGACTTTTTCATTGCAAATACCTTTTTGAAAAAACACAGTGACTTTACACATGGCCCTCACAAGATGGACTCTCTATGATTGATGAAATCTGTGGAAAGAATCATTGCATAAGCTAAATATCAGCAGCCAAAACCAGGCCAGATGCTCACAGTGGAACAAGACCAGCAATTAACTCATGCGTAAGTTCGAATTGAAACTGAAGAAAATGAAATCAAGTCCACAAGAGCCAAAATATTATCTTAAATCTATCCCACTGGAATTTAAAAAAGCATCTTAAGAATAGGTTTGAAAAATTGAACACTAGTGATTGAAGACCACATGATTTGTGGGAGAAATTAAGGACGTCTTCCATGAAAAAAGAAAAAGCTCACTAAAAAGACAGAAGGGAGCGGGGGGAAAAGACCTAAATGGATATCAGAAGAGGTTCTGAAAATTGCACTGTAGTGCTGAGAAACTAAAACAAAAGGAATAAAAAAGCGGAACAGAAGATTTTGAGGGGTAGCACTGGAAGAAAGCACAGTAGTATAAAGGAATGTGCAAAGATCTAGAATTGGAGAATAAAAAGGGAAGAACTCACTGAGCATTTTTCAAGCTGAAGGAACTGAAAAACAAATTCAACCTTTGACTTGCAATCCTTAGGGATGCTGTGAGCAAAATCTTGAACTATCCAATACACATCAAAAGAAGATGGTGATAATACACAGTCACTATAAAAAAAGAATTGAAATATTTCAATAAG